TGTGTGTGTGTGTGTGTGCGTGTGCGTGTGTGTGTGTGTGTGTGTGTTTGTGTGTGTGTGCGCGTGTGTGTGTGTAGAGAGCGAAAAACAGATACAGAGAGAGGGAGAGATATTGAATAAGAGAGAAGGGGAAAGAGACTTAAACGCGAGCGTCTAATATTCATCATGAAGGTCTTGATAATCTTTCATTAAGCACTGTCGTTAGTTCACATGGCAGTAAAATACAACGACAGTCTGTCATTGATGAATGCGCTGCTCCATTGCAGGTGCGTTCTGCAACGCTACCTGGGATACCATTCTGTGTTGGCCAGCCACACCTGCCGGTGAAACGACGAAGCTTAACTGCCCAGCTCTGAAAGGGTTGGACACATCAAGTAAGCACGGTGTATGTCCCGTTTGCAAGCAGTGGCGGATGCAATTAATATATATAATATATATATATATATATGATGAACGCTAGAGCCGGCTAATCCACGCACTAGTCTCGCCGAACTCTTTGAACTGAAATATGTGCCACGCATGCAGCGCTCTTCACTTATTTCGAGCGACGTTCACTTATTTTAAGCACCATTTATACTTCGCCACAGTACTAGCGGCTTAATCCAAGCCGTCCTGCGACGCATGCGCGCATCGCACAAATCGACGAAGCTGTTTCGGAATAAACAAACACCCTCTAAAAATATATGCATGCAAAAATAAGCGAAACGAATCGCCATATTTAATTGACACATTTACGCTCAAGGCTAGAAGAAATTCTTAAACTGGAATAACTGTTCGAGTGCGCCGCCTTGTGAACACTCGTGTGCCACGTCTGCACTCCCGCCTCCCGCCTTCACGGTCAGAACAGACGATACGCACATGCACATGCAGCACGTGCGCGCGCGCGGCCAGGGAGAAAATTACCCCGTGCTGTGCCAGACATGAAAACTAACACGAAGAAATAACACGAAAAAATAACACGCCACGTTGGCTCTCCGTGCATTTTGCAGAGTTTGCGCACAGGACGTGCGGAAAGACCGCTAGGTGGCAGGGCAGGCAGCCGGGGGACTACGCGTCGGCGAATGGCTGGACCGACTACACGGCCTGCTACCATCCCGACGTCCTTCACGTCGTCGACAGTCTGTACGGGCAAGAAGACGCTCAGGTGAGAGCGCGCACACCAGAGGGCGTCCCCACGCCAGGGGGCGTGCATCGCAGTGGTGCGCATGGCTGGGGAGCGCATGTACGCCACGCGCACTGGCACCAGAGTGGGCAGATACGCCAGGGGGCGTACGTTAGTTGGCGCGCACACACAAGGGGGCGCTCCGTTCGCACACCAGGGTGCGCGCATACACCAAGAACGCTAGCTCACAGTTATGTTCCTTTCGCTGAAAGTCGAATGACCTTCCCAGAAAGTCGTACGACCTTGAAATTGGCGAACGCTCCATGGAGGACCAACTGAAGCTGAAGCTTATAGCATAAGTTCTTTCACTCATTCTTCCTCTCTCTTTCTCGCTCTCTCTTGTCAACGCACGCAATTCTATTTTCAAGCATATAGCGTACAGCCGCGTGAGCCTCTCTGGGTTTGAATTAATTATCGACACTATTATATATCTTCCTCCTCTCGATTCTAGTTGAATCAGGTTTCTCTCGCTTTCTCCACTTCTCTTTCTCTCTTTATTTCTCTCTCACTTACTATCTATCTCTGCCTCTCGGCCTCCCACTCTTCCTAGCTGTTATATACTCGCTCGCGCGCGCGTTTGCTCTACATTACAACGTGTGCGTATATTCTCGAGAAAGCTAGCAAAAAAAACAAACTTTACGTAATAAATAATTTAAATATTAATTACTTAATTATTTTGAATAAATTTATCTCGCAGAAGCGGCTAGACATCGCCAGCAACACGCGCGCCATAGAGATGTTTGGCCTCACACTGTCCTTCACAAGCCTCGTCATATCGCTCTGCATCTTCTGCTATTTCAGGTAAGTCACCTCGTCTCACGCAACTAAATTCCCACTCGTACGATGTGATGCGAAATCTGTTCGATATTTGATAGGCTTAGGTCGATTTGTAGTTCACATGCACTGACAAACGTGTATCGGATCCTGATGATGATGACGATGATGATGTTCTCTGTGTATTCACTGAAGATCGCTGAAGTATTATGTTAGTTTGATGATGATGTTGATGACGATGATGATGATGATGATGATGATGATGACGATGATGATGATGATGATGTTGATGACGATGATGATGATGATGATGATGATGATGACGATGATGATGATGATGATATGTTAACAGCTATAAATGTAAGTAAACGATATAACATAACTACGGTTCTCCGTGTGTTCACTGCAGATCTCTGAAGTGCAGCCGTACGGTGATTCACAGACACATGTTCACCGCCATGCTCATACAGGTTACGCTGCGCCTCATTATCTACATCGACCAATTCATCATCAGACGCTCGTCTGTCGGTCCCTCCGCCGCCGCCGCAGCCGCGCAGCAACGAGGAATAGACAACACGGTAGATAAATAAATAAATAAACAAATAAATAAAGGAATGAATGAATGAATGAATGAATGAATAAATAAATAAATAAATAAATAAATAAATAAATAAATAAATAAATAAATAAATAAATAAATAAATAAATAAATAAATAAATAAATAAATAAATAAATAAATATATAAATAACTGAATGTTATATATATTTTGTGTGTGTGAGTGAGTGTGTGTGTATCTATGCATGTGCATATGTGTGTGTGTGCGCGCGCGTGTGTGTGTGTGTGTGTGTGTGTGTGTGTGTGTGTGTGTGTGTGTGT